GGGCAAGCACAAGATTACCCATTGTGCGGTGTGTGCATGACCGAAGGGACGGTGTCAGACTCTGCCGAAAGGGCAATCGGTCAAGCGTGACACGCACAAATCAAGAAGTGTACATTTGACGCCCTGAGGCTCAAGTCACAAAAGCGTGTTTTGCTTCGCATATATTATTTTTTAAATATTGTATTTTCCTCTTTCGAACTGATCGAAAGTTGGAATTGATCTTCACGTTCGTAGAGAATGTCCGGCTCACAAGATCAAAACATTCCAGACCCACTTTGTCTTTCAGAAAACTGCGCAGTATTTGCGGCTTGTTTCATTGCAACAGTGACTACAGCAGATAGTTTTTGTATAGTCTAGTCTCCTGTTGCTGATTTTTCAGAGCTCTTTTGCTTGCACCTCTTCCGTTCTTTTCAAGAGAAGCATGGGAACACAGGCGGAAAACTGCTTGCCTGCGCAGCGATCGAGGGCGTCCGTCGGTATTGGGCTCCTCGTCCGCAGCAGACGGCCGAACGGCCGAAGGGCCCATCCGTGGGGCGCGTCGACGTGCTGCGTGTTGGTCACCGACGGTTTCTCCCCAGGTGTTGGTCACCGAATGACTCCGCTGCGTGTGGAACATGTCGGAACAGGATGTTATTTTTCTTCTTTTGGGCAGTGGCAGGTCCAAAGGAATCCAATGAAGTGGGAAGGCTACTTCATCCATCTTGATTCTACCCTTACATTATTTGGGAGCAAAGGAAACAGAACCATCAGACTTAAACAGCCCTCTTGGCTTTTAGCACCCCCATATTTTGAGACACGTCCTTTAATATGTAAATTTAAATCTGGCATCGGCGAAGGACGCAAGTCAACCAGGGTAAACCGGAGATGTTGATCTTCCTTCCCCCGTAGTAGGTAAGGACTGGGGCAAACGCACTGCATGAAGGCGCGGACAGTCAGCAAAAGTCTATGCGAGAGCAGCAGCATGGCCATCTACCCGTAGTACTATGCCAACGTGAAAGGGAGTTCCCCCACAAAAGAAAGGATTTTGAATTTTGAGTGACGAGTATGACGAGTGCCTCTCTAACTCCCAACCACTGAAGGTCACACCGCTAGTAGCGATGCCCGAAATGCTCCGTTCGTAGAGTCCTTGCTCCGTTCGTAGCGATGCCCGAAATGCTCCGTTCGTAGCTTTCGAATCCTCGTCGCTTTCGCCTTCGGAACGGACGTCGCTCTCGCGGGGCCCAAGGAGCGGTTGGTGCTGATCCGCCCTGCTCGCAGAGAGGAGGAGCTCCCGCTGCTGCCGTTCATCCCCCCGCAGGGCACGCGCACGCCGGCACTGGCGCAGGGTTCCCAGAAGGGGTGCTGAGGGTCGAGGCATTATGGTTTGCCATTTGTGTGGCTCCAAAAGATTGTCAACAGCCAAACTGCCAAACCCTCCAGTCTTTGGAGAAACAAACGTCGTTGATCCGTCCTCAGGCCATTCCCCAGATCGGTGGACGAGCTATACAAAGGATCCGAGAGCACCATGCAGGTGCTGTATGTGTGCCAGATGGCTCTTTCAAGAGTTGGGTTTGTATGGTTCCCCAAGCCAGCACTGGACGCTCACGAGTCATATGAGTGTGATTTGAAGGTTTGTCAGCTTGCACCAGTTCCGGATTGACAAGATACCTAGAGTTTCCAGCTGCCGGGCAATCTTCTGGGCAACTTGCCCCAGATTCAAGAAATCCAATTCACTTTATGCTATTTAATTTAGACATATTTTATTTAGACCAACATTGTAACATAGCACGCCGAGTGAATTTGGCCATTCGAACTTCTTACTATTCTTCATGGGCAAAATGCAGTTGATGACCAGCTTCAGTCTAGTAAATCAGCTTGCTACGCTGCGCATCGCAGGACCTCCCCAGTACTGCTTCGCATTCCAGAAGGCCCGGTTTTGCGCCATAGAAACTGGTGAGAACAAGACTAGGGAAGTCATGGACCGGCAGATGAACATGGACCCCCAAACACCACCCAAGCCAGTCAGATTGCCTGGGTCTTTGATGATCTTTGAACCTCAGAGTCCACGTCAGTCTTCTGCAACATTTGGCAAGAAAGCAGCACAGATGGTATCCTCTTGACATACTTTTTTGCACACTGCCGTAAACCAATACTGGCTGACAGTTTGCAGCTTAAACTGGCACAGGGCGCCTGTCGCAATGGAGAATCCTGCCGCTTCTTGCACAAGATTGCTCCAGGCGGTGAATTCGGTATGTTTGTGTGTGTGTGTGTGAGTCGCTCGCATTTCAAGTACTCACTGTTAGGGAAGATCACATCATATCGGGTGCGAGAACATCGCACGCTATAAAACGACCTCGCTGCGATGGGACCGTCTTGTTGCGTCCATCTTCGCAGATGGTGCCATCAAGCCGCAAGGGAACCATCGCAGGCTTTCCGGAGGGACGGAGGGAGGAAAAGGGTCCAGAGTCCAAAGGGTCGGCATACGTCATATGGATTCATATGGACGAAAGAGCTGCACAGTGAGATTCTCCAACATGATTTAGGAAGGGACAAAGCTTGCTGGGGGTATAGAGCTGGTTTTGCAACTGATTGGACTCTCCCACGCAAACATGTCTGCGCACTTGCACAATTTGCACGAAGGTTAGATGGGTGACAATTCCTAAAGATTAGCAAACTCAATAGAATGCTTGAAATGTACCTATGTTTACCTGATGGCTTTGGGCCGGGTTCCAGCTGTGTGAGCAGGCTGGAGGGAGGGGAATTGCCAAGGCCTGCAGTCAGCCAGGTGGATGCTTGAAGAAGGGGTGATTTTGCTCACCTCATGCCAATTACTGTAATATAACTTTGTGATTTAGTGGTCACCCCTCAAAGATACTCGTTTCGCCCCAAACCAGCTCCATTCGAAACGTCCACTGGCTTGCCACGGCCCTTGTGCCATCTGGTGCGCCCTTTGTGTCTCGTGCCCAGGCTTTCCGGCTGAGGACTTCGGACCCGGGTCCAAAAAGGGATCCAAGAGTGTGAGATGGGTCAAGTAAAAGGTCAACCGGTGCGTTGAGGGACAGGTTGAGGTCATCATCGCATAGTGGCGTGGGGGTTCGACCGGAGGCCGCCAGCACTAAGCAAGCGACGTGGACGGAGGTCGTGGACGGGACTGGTGCCGTCCGGTGGGACAAGCCTCACATCGGATCACCAGTGGTGCAACGGATCACCTATATAGGCTGTGAGGGCAGCAGCTACGAGGTCGTTGATGCTTTGAAGAGGAAGGAGTACAGGCAGCAGCTAGGGTGGACCTTTTCACAAGGGTGCAGTGCAAAGTATTTCAAAGCGAAATCTGACGTGTGAATATTCGTCATTAAACCTGTGCCTTGGCATTGGAGTTCCTTGCTCAGCTGGGGTTTGCCTGGTTTGCCTAACCTCAGTCACAGACGAAACGACCCCGAGCATGTAAGAAATCGCATGGTCCATCGCCTTGGGTTGGATTGGGGGTGGATCAATTCAGTGTGCTGTTTGATACCAGGTAGTGATACCACTGTAGAATGTGATACTGTACCACTATATACCTATACCATCCTATACCACTGTAGGTAGTGACCAGGTAGTGCTTGTCCCGGTATCACTTCTGTCAACCTCCTTCCCCTTGTTTTCGCCCTACGGACGGAGGACCAAAGACGTCCGTCGATGAGCCCTGCTGTGGCGGAATGCCCTGCGGTGGGGAAACAAAAAAAAGCGTGGCCGCAAGCGGCGGAGTCAAACAGAGGCCTTGAATGGCCTGTCGAAACATCCTTGAATGTGGTTTGTTCTTGTTGGGGGGCCAATCAGTATGGTTACGGATGTTTTTCTTTGGTGAACCTCATTGATCAGATCGGTTGGGCTTGCTACCGTTTTCTTAAATCCCTTTGTTGGCTGGTGATCTTATGTTCTTGCGGTGATGCTTCAACATAATGCGACTGTCGCCGTCATTAAAGACGATGGACACATGCAGTATTTCTTTCAAGTTTGGGCAGTTTGGGTGGCTGATGCGCCTGGTTTCTGGTTGGTCTCCCAAAACCGCGTACTGCCGGCACAGCCTGATGCTGAAGCCCCGCCCTTGCCCTATGGGACGGCGGCCGGGTGACCCGGCGGACGGGCGGAGGCTGGAGATCAGACCAACGGATCCAGAAGCTCCTCTTGGAAAACATCCTGTTCACCAAAACGGAGCCCTGCCCTTTTGCTTTGGTTGGTCCACACAGAAGTATCTCATTTCCATCTCCCATGAATTAGATTGGGTTGCAGAGTGAAGTCTGTCTGAAGGCAGCAATGTTAGAGTTCGTGCCGGGGTCAGCACTTCCAAACGCCAAGCGTTTAATGCTCGGAGCAAGGTGCCTTCCCCACCCTTTGAAATCCCTATTCTCATGGGGTGGGAACGGCCTCCAGTGCCTTCATACGTAGTCAACCCTTGGAACGTTGGACACGTTTGACACGTGGCCTATGTTGTGGATTTATCACCAAAGTACCACTGGTAGCAGAGCACTTGGGTAGAATCCCTGGCAAAACGACAAATCGACTGAAAAGAGGGTGTTTCAAGATGTTTCAACATAGTCCACAGAACACACATTCACACGAAGGCCTCCGTTACATTTTCTATTGCTTAATGTAATAGACATCCATCCGGATTTGTGCTAAGATGCCAACCTCAAGTCGCGCAAGTGCGAGCTCTTCGAGGACCTTGCAGGAGCTGGCTTGCTTCAATTTGGTTTGTGCTCATGTTTGCTCCCTTCTTTTCCGGGGGCAAGCTTCCTTTACAACTCACCGACCTTGCAGTGAGGTCCCATGCGAGATGTGTTTCTTTATCAGATCCCAGGCATCAACATGTTTTTTTGTTTAACGCTCATTGGGACGACGGTCGTCGGTTCCACGTTTTTGAGACCGGAACAGGCCAACACAACCAGGGCTATAAACCATGTAACAGGCCAACCTGCTTGCAGCAAGGTGCAAGCCCTGCTCAAGCCAGCACAACTTGACGACGTTTGTTAGATTCACAAATGGAGGCGCCACTTTTGTCGCTGGGAGGCAGCCTAGGAGGTGGCCCGGGGCTTTTCAATGTGTGTGAGTTCCCGGTGGAAGAAGAAGAATGGAAAGGCTTGAGCTTCCGTGAGCGTGTGAAGATTTGCAACGCCAAGTTCCTTCGAGACAATGGCATTTTGCCAATCCCAGCCTTCATTTCAACGTATGCCTGCATTGGCCTTTTGTGGTGGGCTGGTTTGCGTTTCTTCCAAGATCCTTCCCTGCCCTTCTTCTCTGAGTTGAATATGAAGCGTATGATGCTCTACAACATCTTGCATTCTATCCTGGGCTTCGGTGCCACGAGCTCCTTCTTAGGGCAACGTTTCAAGTTTGCGGTGGGTGGCACCGGCATCCATTTCTTGTGGCCTGGCACCATTTGCTCTCCACTCCTCCCCGACCTGCTTCGACGCCTGGGTATCTCCGTCCCCGCCCGCCGCTCCGTGTTGGCGGTGGTGCTCTTCGCTGCCTATGCCTTGGCGTTGCTGCACGAGTTGCTGGTGCCGGAGCCACGGGTGGCCGTGCCTTTGGCCTTGCTGGCGGTGTGCACCATCTTCGATTACAACATTTTTGGTGCCAGCCGCGGGGAGCACTATGGCTACTTCATGGTTTGTATGTTGTTCCCAGACTGGCTCCATGGCTGGCAGTGTGTGCAACTAGCCTTGTGGAGCTGGGCGGGGGTGGGGAAGATTGGACCTTGGTTCCAACCGGTGATCCCATTCATCACCAAAGACTCTGCCTATACATGGTTCCTTCCCAAGAACCTCATGTGCAAGATGCTTGTGAAGGATTACCCCAATGACCTGAATCCCAGTACGCTCTCTACAGTTTTGGCCTACTGTGGTGCAGGGCTGGAGATGTTCTTCCCCCTTTGCTGCAGCTCTTCGTTCTACTTGATTCGGCTGTTTGGTGCGTTTGGCATGATTTGCTACCACTGCTTTATTGGCATTTGCATGCCCTTTGCCTCCGTCTTTGAGTGGAACTACACTTGCATGATCTTGTCCTACTTCCTCTTTTGCCACAATGAGTTTGCCTTCCCCAGTTCCACGGCTCTTCAAGCATTCTTGCTGTTGGTTCTCATCGCGATCCCTGTCCTTGGACAGTTGTACCCCTGCCTGGTGCCCTTCCTTCTGGCCTATCGACCCTACATGGGAAATTGGCGCTTTGGCTGGTTCGTGGTTCACAAGAGCGCCCTTTCCAAGCACCAAAAGCTGAAGACCACCGAAGACCCCTTTGCAGGAAAGAATGGCGTGTGGATGTACGAATGGTTTGAATTCTTCAGATTGCCCTCGAAGCAGTCCATTCGCACCATGCAGCACTGGGATTACCTCGTTGCCGGTCTCATGATGACCATTCCGGCCTACCGGCCCTTCGTGTCCGTGATGGAAAAGCTCATCGAAGACAACGGCTGGGACACCGATGACGTGCTCTTCACGCACACCGAGTCCTACCAGAATCAGGCGACGACGAAACGAGAAAGAGAACAGACGCCCAGCACAGGTTGGTGTTTGCGAAGGCACGGGAAGGATTGCAACCAAGAGTCAGGTTATATTAATGGTTATTGGTCTACGTCTACGTATCGTTTTGCGTGTTTTTTTTTTTTTTTGATGCGCGGCCCGCTGACAAAAAACAACTCAAAACGGAAGCCACCGAACTCAAATGATGTAGACTCTGATGAAGAACTTCCCCATTTGGATTGCCAAACCTTTTCATATTGGGGGTTGCATTCATCAAGAGTCTATACATGACCATTTTTTGTGGAGTCGGAACCTTTCATGTGACAATGTGTGATTGGCTTCTCGAGTGCATCATGTCCTTGAAGCACCAGGTCTTTGGCTTCTCTCTCGGAACTGGCTGGATCTCTGCCCGCGAGTGTGTCCGGGAGGCATACAACGCCATTTGTGGCTTTGAGAAGGCGGGGAAGCCATTGATCAACACCAAATAGCACTCTGCAATACTCTGCATATGATTCTGAAACCAGTCAACCCTGCAGGGGCACTGAATGGCACTTCTCAGCACCTGCCCCAGGGCGCATTAGGCATCACCCATGATCTTTCACTTCTTCAGGGTACTCTGTACATCTCTGTACCACGTAGAAAGGACAGTCTTTGCGCATCCAAGGTCACAAGTCCTTGCATCAACTGTTGGTTTTTCAATGTCCTTGTGTCCTTTTGGCATTCAGGGGGAGATGTATTTCGTGCAATTTGATCCCGTGAAGCCCTTGCCCTGGGGCCGCTCGGCGAGCTGTCGGGGTCTCCAGGTCGAAATCGGGGTCGAGCTGTCAGGGCTCCAACTCAACCATTGGGATGAATCCATTAATTACATAAGACTATACCTCAGCCATTTGGGAAGGGTTACAGGGATAGGGAGAATTCTCAATGTTTCCCCCCCTGAATTTGTAGAACTCCCATGTCTTTTATCTCTTCATGGTTTCTCAGATTCTGCAGGAATTCGATTGAACACACGGAAGAGTGCACAACCTGAAGACGGTCCTTTTTGCCTCTTTTTGGTCTGTGTTTCGTGCTTAGCTTGACCGAGCGAAACCCTCGCGACACGGACCGAGGCAAAGAGAATCATTTGGTCCAGTTCCGGTGCTTCGATGTGACTGAAGGGCCTGAGAAGGCGCAGATCTATGGGGAGATTCCTTATGCTCAAGCCGCTGAAAGCCAGCCAGCAGCTTTGCACATGAAGGATCTCAACAAGGGCAAGTCGATCCATGGCACGTTCCTGGACACCTACTATTGAGAGGTGCTACAGATCATCAACTGGAAACTCCCAGCAACATAGCAACACATCAGATTCTATCAGATCTGCTGAATTGGCTTGATCAATGGTATCCAAACCTTTGAACATATTTCCAGCAGTGAAGTCAAGACCTTGAGCACACGGCTGGAGGATCTCGGACTGACTTGCTTGAGCATGAGTGGAAAAGACGCGTCCAGCATAATATATAAGTTGTTGATTATCAGTAAAGCAACCGAGAAAGAGGACAGGCTAGATGTCTTCTTGGCAAGGAGATGTTCCTGCGTGGGCATTCTCTTCGAGCTGGGAGCTTGGCGCTGCACATTCTCGGAGCCAAGGAGGTCTCACGTCGTGCACTTGAAAGTGGACCTACCATTACCACTTTTGATAAGAACTAGAAATAAACCCGGGAAGATGAACCTGGAACCTGAAAATGGACCTTTGGAAGACACTTTTCCTCTACAACCCAGTGGTTTTCCAGGTTCCACGTGGGTCTCTTCTAGGGCGTAGGAATCCATCCATTCTTCCGTTCACACCAAAGGAGCCCCAAGGAGTATGACCTAGCGTAATCTGGTCTAAGGGGCCCTGCAGGGTTGCTGGTGCGAAGCTGGCTTCGGAAGCACCTTCGGAGCAGGTCGTTTCCGAGCAGTTTCAGAAATCGTTTCCGAGCAGGTGCAGGTGCAGGTCAGGTTGGAGGGTCGCAATGCGGATGTTTGATTTTGCTAGAGTCTTTGACAACAAAGACAATCATTTCTGTTTTTAGAGGATCTCATCCAGGGTGTGATAGTGTGCGACAGGAGTCGGGCTTTGTGTTTGGCCCCAGGTCCTACCAAAGGCACAGGAGAGCGAGCCTCAGCGGAACATGGGCACAGGGTTCGCCCACGGGCCCACCACCTTCATCTCCGTAAGCTGCAACCGTGGCAGCCCTGCAGTGGTGGATGTTTGAACATGAACTTCCCTGCAGCCTTGCAAAAGTTGCGCCCCCTTCATGCTCACAGTATGCCGGAAGGTAATTATGCCGGAAAAGAAAGAACAGTTTTGTGGTTTGTCAAGGAGTATGGCAATCCCCCGTTACATACCAAGAAAGAAGAAGATGTCGAAAACATCAATTGCTCCATTGCTCTAGGCTAGTTTGGAGAAGACAAAGACTTGCACCACCACGTTGAGTCCTGATTCATGATAGTGTGTGTTTCCTGTGGCCTCCTAGGTTTGCCGCCTCCTCTGCCAGCCTTTTTGCAGCTCTGCAGGAAGTCTTCGACTTTCAGGCAGCAAACGCATGGCAATCGTTGGTAGCGACGTGCAGAGCGCACCGGAAGTGCCGCGACCGGTTCCGTGCCGCTCCAGGCTGACAGCGTGAAGAACCAGTATGACCACTTCCTCTCGTTGCTGCAAGCGCATTGTAGCATGGCTGGGACCCAAATTGGCAGGTCTCTCTGGGACTTCATTTTTGAGGGGGAAGAGGCACGTAGTGGCGAATTAGATTAGAAGAGTAGCTAGTACGTTGGATTTGGATGCAGAAGAACCATGAAGAACCCTTCACATGCAGAAAAGACGGTTCTGAGATTTTGGAAGGATGTCCTCATCTTATCGAGCTTTTGGACCCCACATTCCGGTGACCACCAAGATGGCTGACATTGGTTGACCCATTCGGAGCCCGCTAGGGGCGCTCCGGCCATGAGACGACGAAGACCTCCGGTCTCACAGGTCGCCGACCGCTATGTCCAGGATGAGGAGGAGGCCGCTCAGCTGCTGACCAAATCTATATTAATTAAAAAAATAGACACTTGGACGTTTCCTTGGGATTGGCATGGATGGGCTCTGGGCTGCCAAGATTTTCATTGAGTTTTTTTTGGCGACACACCATCCGTCGACCCAGGCGGAGTGTTTCCATTTCTACATGCTGACGCATGCTGAGTTTGTAGCAATCGAAGACGTTTTCCCGCTTGGCGAACATCGTTTGTGTGGAAAGGGCTCCTTTCTTGTCGAAGAGAATCTGCCCTTTTCCCGGCTTCTGAGACGTTGTCGGCCACTTGCGGCACCGCTTTTTTCACCGCATCACCGACAGCCCCAACGAAGACCGATCCAAAAGATCCCACCGAACAGCGACGCTCGGAGGATCCCCCGCCGGAGACGCACCGGGGCGACGCTCGGAGGATCCCCAGCAACGCTGGCGACGCTTGCGACGGTTCGTTCGTGAGGTCCCCGAGGAGCTGCTGTTGAGCGAAGCCGTGCTGGAAATCTACCAGGAACTCTTGGAGGTCAGTGTCCGGTCGTCGCCTTTAGGAGGTGAAGTCCAAAGCAAACACGCTACGCCATGCTATGCCCACGAAAGCTTATTTTGAGAATGAATCGGTGTTTGCAATGCTTTGAAAGGAAGGGGTATACCTATACCATTTACGTATAAAATAGACATGCTCTGTAATGGCCCAACAAAAGATATGTTTATTTCAACAACTCCATTAATTATGAGTCATGAGACTTGAGCTGATTGCAATCCTGAGGTGCAAATAATGCAAATTAATAAAATTCAATTCTTGTGCGTCCAAGTCGAGCACAGAAGCTTGACAACAAAAAGCGAGACTTGACAAATTCGTTTTTTGCAATCTTTTGCAGTTATTATTACAGTGACTTCACCTACCCAAGTGAGGTTTTATTCTCAATCATTTCGGTTTTGGTATGCCTTACATGAAGTATCACTGCATACGCTCCAATTTTAAGTTCATCAAGGCACAAAGTCAAGCCCATAGATAGGCGATCATTAGTACAGAAGAGCTTTTCAGAGTTTTTCAGACAAGGAAGATACGTGCGTGAACTACCTGGATCATAAAGAGACAGCGCTCGTGTAAAGAAAAGAGGTTACTGGAGGAGATGCCTAGGACTAAAAACATCTTGAAACATCTTGAAAGAGGTATACATTTGTTCTGAGATAGGATTCGGATGAGACACTTGCTTAAACAAAAGCAGGACATTGTTTTAAAGGGTGGATTCTTCACCTCAAAAGGTAGACTTGACTTTTCGGGGGTGGACGCGAGTAGAACAAATACATACGCTCGGATTTCATGAGATGCAGCTTTGGGCTTTGGGTATGAATGCCCTGAGACTTCTGCTCTTCGCCAGACTGGTGTATTTTCCTTGCAACCGCACCCAACCAAAAAGCAGTCAGATCATCCGGAAACAAGATCCCTACCACCAAACCACGCATCACTCGTCAACTTGTGTTGGGCCCGTAGACCGTTTCAACGGCCCCGTCCGGGTCCGGATCCACCGCGCCCGCCGCGTCAGGGCTTCCGCGTGTGGCGCGAGAGCTGCAACGACTCCGAGGACCTCGAGCTCCCAGCGCGGCGCGAGGAGCGCGGGGTGCAACGGGTGGGGGGGGAGGTGCAACCGGGGGGGAGGTGCGGGGTTCGGAAGAGATGGGTATGTCATGGGACGCCCAGATGTATATAGCATGGTAATGCATGCTGCGCCTTTTTATGGTGGCCCTTGTTTTAAGCCACGGCCACTTTGAAAGACTTTCAGGCCAGGTTCCACAGAGCGGTTGTCCTCAAAACCCCGTTTGCGCACTTATTGGTTGCTTGCCTTTGATTTGATAATCTGTATATCCTGATTTCTGTGCAATGTCGCGAGCATCCTGTAGGCCTGTAGGCACCAGACTTTTTTGCCCACCCAGAAAGCCAGCCAGGCTAGCCTTCCTCCACTGGCGGGAGCACGTTGGAATCCTTTGCAGGGTGCCTCTGGAAAAGTGGTTTGCATTTTGACATACCCTCTGACTCACTAACATGGAAGTGGAAAATGGTCCCTCGGAAGACTACTTTCCTCTACCAAACAGGGGGTTTCCGCTTCTATGTTAGTGAGTCAGAGCGTATCTTGAATCGGAAAGAGGTTGCATCCAAAAACGCGAAGAAGCGGCTAGTAGTAACAAGAGGCTAGTAGTAACAAGTGCATTGCTTCTAGTAACAAGTGCCTTACTAGTAGTAACAAGAAGCTAGTAGAAACAATAAGCTTCTAGAAAGCTTCCACCCTCCTTTACGCTTTCTTCCACCCTCACAATGTACGCGGCTCTTGCTGCGGAACATCGGGTGGCGAGCGGTGGCGAGCTGCCAAGGCCACCCAGCTGCTATGAAGGGAAGGCTGAGGAAGCCTCCGAGGCCTCGAGGCGATATCGTCGATGTTGTTTTTTTCGTGTTTGGTTGATTCGTTCCAGAATCCATTGAGATCCATTTGGCCTTTTTTTGATCACATCATCGGCTGGAATCATGGAATATCATGGAATATCATGGATTTGGGAGGATGTATGAGAATGTCCTCTTGGTCTCCAAGATTCTACAAGCCGTTTTTGGAGGGTCCATGACATGGAACATTCGGAACATTCGCCTGATTCAGTATATAGATGGACCGACATGAAAACCATCCCCCTTGGGCGGAGCTGAGCGAGCCGGGACGGACCGAGTGTTCTGGCCAAGGTTCTTAGCTACACTCGCATCAAGTGCTCCAAGTTTACTTGTATTCCACAGTTGCCTCAGTAAGACGTCTCAAGACTCAAAAGAGTAGCATGAACTTCCAAAGGCACTCACTAGTCTTTTTGGAAAGACACGCTGGACCTTGGAGCCCATCCACAGCGGGTAAGACAGCTTGCTTCCGCATCCTAAAACTGTGGGAGGGGTCACCCAAAAAAACTCAAATTATAGCAGTATAGCAACTCAAACGTTATTCACAAAAAAAATCACAACAGACTACCACATATAACCTCATTCATTTTTCAAAATCATAACTACTAACCATCTGGTACCTCATTCATTGTTCAAAATCATTACAGTGAATACATAACTATCTCATTCATTCCACAAAATCATCACTACTAACCATCTATTACCTCATTCATTCCTCAAAAATCATAGCTACTAACCATCTATTACCTCATCATTTTTATTGAAGTCATAACAGTCAATACATCATCACCTCATCCATTCCATACTCAAAACAAAACAACCAAGCAACAAGAC